AGAGTAAAAAACCGGTATCTCATATAGATGTGAACGTACGACTTTATTTTCTCTTTTAAATTTTAGTGAGCTATATAATGTGTATGTGTATGAATAAATGATATATAATTGGGGTCATCTCAAAGTCAGATGGGATAAAGACATTGTTATTATAAAGTATAAACTCTTTTCCATATATGAATTGCATTCGTCAATATGCACGCTTTTGAATTTTTTTAATTTGTAAAAAAGATTAAACATTTGCTTGGTTAATTAAGATGTTGAAACTTGAAACTCAGCTAAAGGTTAATAAATTATTTAACCTGCCGTAGTTGGTAGTCAATAATTAGTATAAAATGGGAACACCACATAAGAGACTGATAAAATAAGAAGCTAATTCTAATTGATTGAGCTTAATTAACTCACATATTGGTGTGTACATGTATTTATATATAATTTGAGGAGCTATTGTCTCAAAACGCTGGCAAATTAGTCTAAAATATATAATACGGGTAGAAAATATGAACCTCAGCCAGGTCTCTTCTCCCTTTCCTTGCCTTATAACCCAAATATATGTACAAAGATTTTGAGACTTGGTAGATAAACATTACTTAATGGATAATTATGATGCTAGCTTAACTTGAATATGTACAAATATATGTACAAGGATTTATCAGATGATGGTTACTGTATGACAAACAATGATCTCCTAATCGGAATAAGACAAAATTCGTATCTTTACATAACTAAAATATAAAATTTGTATCATTAAATAGATTAAAGTAAAAGTTTATAACTTATTTTAAAAAAGCCAAACCCCAAAATTTACATCTTAAATAGGAGAGTAGAGATGGATCTGCTTCTAAAGAAAAAAAAAAAAAGCAGCAACAAATTACTCATTTAAATAATTTATCAAAATAAATCATTTATTATTTATCATATGATATTATTACATATTAACTTTTTATTAAAAATAAATTTATATGACAAATAAATTCCTAAAGTTTGATAATATCATAAATTAAATAATAAATAATTTATCTTAATTAATAATTTTAAAAAATAATTTATTTTTATCTTTTTTTAAATAAATTTATTCTTAGACTTTATTTGAGGGTGAATTTAGGGTTTACTATTTAAGGACTTAACATATTTTAATTTATGAATAAAATAATAATAAACTAATTTCACATATTTATATGTACTTTTTATCACTTTCATTGTAACTCTCCTTTTTTAAAAAACAACCTTTAATTTTAAAATAATAAAATAAAATGCTCCAATATGATATATAACTTAACGTAAGGATGATTTCATCAAATGTTGTAGAACCATGCCTATGCTTGAATGGGCATAGTACCATACAACATATAAATGATGGTACATGGCAACCAGCATCGATGATGATGATGATGATGTTGATGATGGTCAGCATCAGTAGCATAGGGACGTATGCACCAGAGCCACATGCAGAGTCTCATAGCTTTTTTAGAATCAGAATCACAATCACGGTCCGTCCTCGGACCCACACCCCGCCCACTCAGTGAGACAGGTATCACGGACGGTCCTATCACTTGCCTCGGGAATCCCCACCTCCCAACTCCACTCTAACTTTTTAATTATGGTTTAATCATTTCAAACCTGATCAAAAAGGAGACCTCCCCTTTGGAAAGTTATCTTACTTTTTCATCAGTTTATTACTTTTTATTTTTTCCCTCCAAAAATTTTTCAGTGCACCTATTACATTTCAATTCAGTAGCCGTTAAATGGCATTGCCATTCTACAATTTTCAAAGTGTTTCTCGTTATTTATGGAAAGAGTTCTTAGGTTATTAACGGCTTAAACAATATAGCAGAAGATTATAAATTTCAGTTAAAGACAAACTAATGTAATGAGACGAGAAAGAGTGCCGATAATGAGATGAGAAAGAGTGCATCGGCACTTCAGTTAAGTGATTTCTGATCGCTTTGAGGTGTAATTTTTTTTTTTTGGATGAATTTGAGTTCGTCCCATAATAATATTATTAAAAAAAATAAAAAATGAGAAAGAGTTAAAAGTCTTAAATAAAAAAAAAAGAGTTAAAAAATCTTGTTTTTTATTACTACACTACTCAAAATAATATATATGTTAGTAAAGATTTTTGTATTATTAAATGAATATAATATATTATTAAACATAAAATATAATAAATAAAATTTTTAATACATAAAATTAATTATATAATAATATATTATATTATAAATTTATAAATAATAACGTGTAATATTACAACTTTACTATTCTTGTATTAATTTCCATTCACACGCAAAATTAGTATATTGAATTAAAAATGCCATTGGCCTGGATGATCAATGAGTACGGACCAGACTTTGAAAATATATGAAAAAGAAAGAATTAAAAATTAATTGTTCATGTAATAATGTAAGACCAAGACTATATGGAGAAGAGAGAGAGGGTGGGGTACTTGGAAAAAGATAGAGATATTCTCTTTTAAGGCATCATGGATTTTGGTGTTTTCTTTTGAATTCAAAATCAAGCAAGGGTAAAATAAAACAGCGGCCCAGATCGACCTTTGCTGCGAGAGAGAAGAAGAGTACGAGGGTTTTGGGTTTGGACTATATATATAGTTTTCGTTAGGTGTTTTTGATTTAAGCTTGAGTTTGGGTATTTTCTTGTCTTTTGGCATAGAATCCACCGGCGAGATAGAAGTCGTCAGTATTTGAATATACCAAAGATTTATCTGCTTCTGTTTGGAGAAACCCCTCTTTCTTTTGTTTGTACTGCTTTCATCCTTGTTTTCTTGCAATTAATTTACTCAATAATCAATCGTCTGTTCGAGTTGAGTCAGGATATTATGTCCGGAGATGGGTTTTCAATGCAGGCTGCTGCTGCTTCCATTGCTGGGTTTGTTCCTGAACAAAATATCACAAACCCTAACCCTACTACGGTGAAGAAGAAGAGAAATCTTCCAGGAAATCCTGGTAGGTAGACTTATATATATATTTTTTTTTTCTTTTTTCTTTTTTCTTTTTTTTTTGTTTTTCTCATAAAAAAGTTCGTACTAATTAGTTATGGCAGAAATTTGAATACTGTTTTGAACAGTGGAACTGGTTCTTGCTAATTTGATTGATGTAATATATATTTTTCCTGGTTAACAGATCCGGATGCGGAGGTTATTGCCTTGTCTCCCAAGACTCTCATGGCGACAAACAGATTCATATGTGAAATCTGCAATAAAGGATTCCAAAGAGACCAGAACCTGCAGCTGCATCGCCGTGGTCATAATCTGCCGTGGAAGCTCCGTCAGAGAACCAACAAGGAGGTACGGAAAAAGGTTTATATCTGTCCGGAGAAGACCTGTGTTCATCACGATCCGTCCAGAGCTCTCGGCGACCTCACCGGGATAAAGAAACATTACAGCAGGAAACATGGGGAGAAAAAGTGGAAGTGCGAGAAGTGTTCCAAGAAATATGCAGTCCAATCTGACTGGAAAGCTCATTCCAAGACTTGTGGCACCAGAGAATATAAGTGCGACTGTGGAACATTATTTTCCAGGTAATTAGGTGAAATAAATTAATGCTTCAGTTTTCATGGCTTTTTCCTGTTTCGAATTTAATGCTTGCAAATGATTAGGCCGTATTTATGATGAACTAGGATTTCTTTGATTCCAACAGGAAAGATAGTTTTATTACCCACAGAGCATTTTGTGATGCTTTGGCTGAAGAAAGTGCGAGAGTCACTTCAGTTGCTTCTACAAACCTCAATTTCAGAAATGATAATGTAAATCTTACTCCTGGATATGTTCCAGGAATTTCCCAGTTCAATTCCGGTTTTGGACAAGATTTCAGTTCCATGGTCACTGCAGGTAAGAACATCAAGAAAATTGTATTTTTGATTTAGTTAGTTTGGTTTCACTGCTACAGATTTTGAACCAGCTTTTGATTCATGTTGGAATTTAGTGGTAATAATATGGTGTCTTTTTTCCTCAAGACGGAGTAACTATGTTTAGTCTTTGGACATTATTGAATCGTACAGGATTGTCCGAGATGGTCCAGTTGCAATCAGCCAATCTTTTTGGCTCATCTTCTTTGGCCAATTTTGGAAGCCACGATCAGTTTTCTGGTACTGGATTTGACAAGAGTGGTGCAACTTCAACCAACGCGAATCTCTCCTTATCACCATTGCAACAAACGTTAAAGGGAGAAGGAGGAAGCAAAGGAAACCTGGTCGACGGCCTATCTTCTATATACTCCGACTCTAATCAAAACAAACAGTCAAAGCCTTCTCTGGTGCCCCTCTCTGCCACCGCCCTCCTCCAAAAAGCGGCCCAAATGGGTTCAACAAGAAGCACCCCCTCGTTCTTTGGAAATAGTTTTGGTGTAATGAGCTCGTCCTCCGCCAGTTCTTCTCATCAGGTGTATCCAAACGTATCCATGGGTGATGCAGGTGCAGGTAGCTCGAACATGAGCAACAACTTTGATCAGGTCATGCTACAGAAAACACTAGCTAAACAAGCAGATCAAAATCAGTTGAAAGTTTCAAATTCAAATCTTGATAATAGCCTGACACGAGACTTCCTTGGCATGGGAAGTGACTCAGGCCGTTCATTTCTACCCCAAGAACTAGCAAATTTCGCATCTATTGGCTCCTCCATCGGATTGAGCCAGTTCACTAGCAACCCTTGAAACCCTAGCGCAAACAATACAATACATGTTGAGTTAAGGCAGTTGATGAGTGGGACTCGGTGTGACACGAACCATTTGACTCGGGCTGGGATTGAGAAAGGTTATCATGTGAAGGGTGAGTGGGCCGGGAGGGGGGGGGGGCTGTGGGGGCATCTATGCATGCCTGAAATGACTAAACAATGAGGGGAACTCCAAGTAGTCATCATGCATGTACTCGATGATCGTCGTCGTTGTTCAATTGTTGTTTTGTTCTTCTGTCTCAACTCTTTTATCGTTATTTCATTCTCTTATTTATTTATTAATTTATTTTTATTTATTTATTTTTTAATTCAACAGCTAGCTAGCACAAAAAACTACGGTCAATTTTTTTTTAAAAAATAGAAAAGTAGGTACATCGTTGACCGTTCGTCAAAGTAATTGGGCCATCTCGTCAACGTTGGTGGGTTTGGGGCAGAAATTAATCGTTAATAATCAGTGCAAATTGGTTTTTTTAATTAAAATCTTAATTATCTGCAATTAGTGGTATATTTTGTCGTGAAATTAGTAGGTATCTAATTCTAGGGGTAGCCAAGTTGGATCAAAGTAGCTAGGTAGCATCTAGATATTGGAAAATAGACCTTTAAATATGGTGATTGGTCAGATCAGATCCATAAGTTACTTTTGGGCTAAGGAAAATTAGTAGTCATAAATCCACGTGATTGGAAAAAAATGATTCTGAAACGAACCAAAATTTAATCAGTCAATTATATCATATGGATTTCTTTTAATACGTGCCACAAGTTAAAAAAATCAATATTGTCAGATATGAGTTTGAAGGAAAAATCTTGATTTTATTTTTGTTTAGTTTTCTTTTATTTTTTTGGTAATTGAAAAGAAAGTTAATTAAGTTGGGGAAGCAATTGAGAGGAATATGTATTCGCGCGAGGTGTGCTTGGTCCTGCAAAGGACTCGAAAGACTCGTGAAGTCATGGGAAAGGAATTAAAAGAAACGTCTTTGGATAGATTCACGAAATTATGTTGACTACTTTTCAATGGATTGCAGCTTTTCATTGTTTTCATTCTTACAGAAAAGATAAGGTAACAACTAACAACAACAACCTTGGAAATTAAGACAGAATGTTTTTAAGTTTCCGAGGTAAGACTTGAAAACTGCATCAACACAACAAACCGGCTTTTGTCATGCTTCAAATGTTGCTGCTAGAACAATAACAGATCCGTTTGATATATGCAATAAGAAGACGGTAAAAAAAGAAGCTAGAAAATCCAAACGTTGAGGTTTGGTTTGCTACCTTTTCAATAGTGCTTCGGGGATCGAGGGGAGGGACCGAGGGAGACCATTAATTTTAGGGCCAAGAGGGTTACAACCCCTGTCCTAGCCTAGGGCAATGCTATCCCTAACAAGGCGTTGCCGAGGACACTGTTACCTGAATTAGGACAGTTTTTGACTTTCAATGTCCTTTTGTAAATAGGGATAATAGAGATGATGTAGAAGGTGGGAAATAAAGTAGCGTGGAAGTTCTTCAGAAGCTGGCATTTCAGAACACCGATGGAGGCTGCCTTCCTTTCTCCCACGAAATGCACCAAACAAGAGGAAAACTCTTTTTTTAAAAACTCGTTAATTACCCCATAAATTTAGAGTTTAGAGGCTAAATGTTGTGTGTAATGATTTTAACCTTTTCTATTGGTACTTGTAACGACCAGCTTTTTGAGACCTGGGTCCTGCCTTTTTAAATTTTAGTTTTTTAAAAGGCTGAACCTTTTTTCAAGATTGATATTTTATTCTATAGAAATTCTCACTTTTTACAACATGTTCCAACTAGGACCTGACAAAGGTTGGGTTGAGGTGGGGCAATGTGCACGGGTCACAAATTGAGTTAAACCGGTTTGTGGGTTGTGGAACTTGTGAAGAGTATGTTCAAATTAAACAAGGTCGTGAGTCAAAAGTTTTATTGAGAGGACAAGATCTGCTGGGAGGGTTTGGTTTCCTTGTACCATAGCCCTATAATGCCCCCTTTGCAAGATCTTAAGGATTTTATATGTATCACAGGGTTAGACTACGATGATTTAACCAATGACCTAAGTGTATGAATGATAGGTTTTTAAATAAAAATAATTTTAAATTTTAATTATATAATATATGAGTGGGTAAAAAGATATTAAATATTTTTTTTTATTAAAAAACCTTGACAACAACTAACTTCTCTAGAAGTTTGTCATTAACTTCATAATCAAGTTCAATGGATAGATTAACTAGAAATGTATACTTATTATTATTATTATTATTGTTAGAGGTTTTTTGGAATAATTTTCATGCACCTCTAGACTAACTCTTCCCAAGTGATTTTAAAGCACACCCCCAACATTAGCTTAGCTTAGTTCATTTAAAGAAATTAATTTCCTTAGATGTTGGCCTTAAATATTTGTTTGGATAAAAATTAGTAAAGAGAAGACAGGGGAAGGAAAAGAAAGGGAAGAGAAGTGAAGAAAAGGAAATGATTGATGTTAATCTTATCTTATTTGGATAGATGAAATGGAAGGATAATATTTTTATATAATTATATAATTTAAAGAAAAAATAAAATAAAATAAAATAAAATAAAATAAAATAAAACATTAAAAATTTACTAATAAAAAAATAATTGAAATAAAATATTTTATATATTTGTTTTCTAAAAAGCATAAAAAATAATATTGTAAATTAAATCCTTCGCAATATCTCCAATTTAGAGGAATAGAAAACAAAGGTATGGAGGAGCTCCATCAAGCCTCCATCTCCTTTCCCCCTCCAATATTAATGAAGAAATCTAAACAAGGGTGAGGGAGACATCTTCTCCTCATTCTCCTCCCCTTTCCCTCCAACTCTCCCAATCCAAACACATTACAAGACTTGAATTGAATTATAAAACGACATTTACTTACAAATAGATTCAATTCTTGAGACATATTTGATTTGAGAGAAATGAATTACTAGGGGAGTAAAATTTTTTGTATTCATCAACTAAATTATAATGTTTGGTTAAAATCCTAATTAATTGGACCAAAAATCAGGTGCATATGGATGTTGGGCCAAGCATCTGCTTCAGAGAATCAGTCAGGCAGAGGGGCTAATTTGAGACCCAAAAGACTGAGATTGACAGGCCCATTTATCAATCATTAACCCAGACAAACAAAACCAAATTCCATATTATGTGCCACGTGTCATTATTTTAGTGGTTATCATTCAGACAATCCAAATCCGACGTGTAGCACAGAGATTGGATGTTGCAACGTGGAACAGTCCACATTTCTTCCTCGACTCTCCAAATCGAATTTACAGAACCAAAACCTTTTCCAATCTAGAGGAGCCACGACTTTTGTATATATAAACATCACAGAAATATAGATTATTACAGAGAGAAATGCTGAATTTTTCAATCTTCTCTGCCGCCACGGATGCAATGGCATGGAGAGGATTGGCGTACACTGTGTTCATACTGCATTTCGTGCTGGTTTGTCAGCTCCGCCTTCTGCACCCCGTCGTTTCTGCTTTAGGTTCGTAACTGCGACTTTGATCTCTTAACTCTCGCTCTTTTTAGGGTTTTTGAAGTTTCAATCTGTGTGCCTTGATCTGGGTAAATTTCTGGGTGTTGTGAATTGTTGGTTTTTGAGTAAATTTAGACAATTTAGTTGCAGTGTCTGGTTTGGTAAAAGATTTCATGTTTCATGCATTCCCAAAGGTGCACTCTTTTTCAGATTTAATTTGATTGCTATTATCTCCCATAAGGAAAGCTGATCTTAACATTTCTGGCAACAAGGTGGTGAAGGCTCCCAAGTTGGTAATTTTAAGTTGGCCTGGTTTCCTGTTGTTTAAAAGGGTTTTTTGGGTTGAAATTTTTAGCATTAAAGCTGGGAAATGATGGTTGTCAGGTTTAAGTACTGTTATTAATGGTAACAACTTTGTGCAAAAATTGATTATTTCTAACTGAGCTTGAATATTACTTTGAAGTAGACTTGCAGAATGGGTGGGTTGCATTGGACAGGTTGGGTCAAACAGGTTCTCTAGTTAGAGAATGCAACCCATTACCCACCCATTTCCCTGTTTTGCAGGTTGTGATCCCAGGGTCAAACAGGTTCACGGGTCAAGAGTGCTTACCATGACCCATTTTAAGTGGAAGGATTAAGGTCGGGTTGTGGGGTTGGGTCAACTTTTGTCATGTCTACTTTGAGGGGACCATTTTTCATGTTTGATCATCTTGCTTGGTTTCTACCTTGCATGTTAGTTGTTGTTGGAGTAGATATTTCTATTAGATAGTTGAAATAGAAACTTCTACAAAAGTTACATCTGGGCTGAACGAGTTGTAGTTTGTAAAAGTGGATTGAGTAGTGCAAACGGGGTGAAGATAATCTCTTTTCCATTTTATTTTAAAATGTAGTTAATTTAAGTATATTGAGAAGTTCAAAACTGCAAATAGAGTGCATCCTTTTTTTTTTTTCTCTATTATTGTGAGTCTCCACAGGTGAACGACATCTGCTTCTTGTCTGTGTGCTTCTAGTTGGTATTTTATTTGTTTATTGATTTGATTATTATGGATAGCTAGCCAATTGCATGCTTTTCATTGTTTCTTCATCAACACAGAAATTTGTATGCTATGTTAATAATTTTTAATTTATGTAATGATTGTGCAGATGGAACGCCAGGAAATGCTGCTGAGTTGTTTGAGAGGGTTTCACAGAGCATAAAAGAGAAGCATTACAGTCAGGCACTCAATGATCTTAATGCTGCTATTGAGGCAGATCCATCACTTTCAGAAGCATACTTTCATCGTGCATCTGTTCTCCGTCAATTGTGCCGGTGCTGATTAATTTAATAGTATTTGTTTTCTTGTTCACTGTTTGATTATCAAGTTCTACTCTCAAGTGAAAATTTTATAAATAATTTCTTTATTAGATTTTCTGGGACATATTTCATACTCTTTGAAAATTTAAGCATATTTTATGATATACAAAGAATTTTTTGTCGATGCTTCAGAGAAACTATTTGAGTAACATATCATTTTTTGGTCTCTCTGGAATATGAAAGGAAAAAGGTTCATCACTTCTCGCTCAATAATTTTCCATCTTCTGACTGTAAAAGCATATGACAGGAGCTTTTTGAATGGTGTAGATATGAGGAATCTGAGAAGAGCTACAAAAGGTTTGTGGAGCTAAAACCTGGAAATTCAGTGGCTGAAAAGGAGCTTTCTCAATTGCACCAGGCTCAAAGTGCTTTAGAATCAGCACTCAGTCTCTTTGATTCTGGAGACTATACAAAAGCTTTAGAATATGTAGACAAAGTTGTCCTTGTTTTTTCTCCAGCATGTGCAAAGGTTAGACCTAACTCAATTTTCATTTTTCCCCTCCTTGTTTTTACATTTCGAGTACTTAAAGCTTAACAAATTTTTGTGTCTTACATTATTCACCAAACAAAATTTTCTGCATCTTGCATTAATGCAATTCTAGTAATTTATTGACTGATTAAAAGAAGTTAGGATGTGCTTTGAATCATTGAGTACTTCAAAGCCTTTATTGTGCCATGTGTATTGTTTGTTGCAGGCTAAGCTTCTCAAGGCAAGTTTGTTATTAGCAACAAAAGACTATTATGGCGCAATATCAGAAACTGGGTACATTCTCAAGGAGGATGAAAATAATCTTGAGGCATTACTCCTTCGTGGCCGTGCATATTACTATTTAGCAGATCATGATGTTTCTCAAAGGTTTGTTTAATAGCACTTTTCTTCTCCAAGGAAACAATATCATAGTGTTTTTGTTGGCATATGGAATTGGATTCAATATGTAAATATGATTACTCCAGGCATTACCAGAAAGGTCTCCGCCTTGATCCAGAGCATGGTGAACTGAAGAAAGCATACTTTGGATTGAAGAACCTGCTCAAGAAGACTAAAAGTGTAAGCCTGCTAAACTTCTTCAAATCTTGCCTCCCTCCCCCTTTCTCTTTTTAAGTTTGTAAACATTCTTCCCTTCATGGAAAATTTGATAGGCAGAAGATAATGTTAACAAGGGTAAGCTGCGCCTTGCTGTAGAAGACTTCAAAGGAGCTCTTGCATTGGACCCCAATCATCTTGCACATAATGTACATCTTCACCTTGGGTTGTGTAAGGTCTTGGTCAAACTTGGGAGAGCCAAGGATGCTTTAAGTAGTTGCAGTGAAGCACTTAACATTGATGCGGAGCTAACTGAAGCTTTAGCTCAGGTTTGCTGTTGTTTCCCCTCTCTTCATTGGCAATTAACTGACTGTTCATGTAGCTTTATAGATGATAATTGTGCTCATTTCCTCAGCTTAACTCACATGTTTCAGAGGGGTGAGGCTAAACTTTTAGCAGAGGATTGGGAAGGAGCTGTGGCAGATATGAAAGCTGCAGCTCAAAAATCACCTCAGGTTAGCCATATATTGTATTCGGATGAGAATTTGTGCTAAGTAAAAAAATTTATCTCTCACGATACAATGGAGTCTTCCATGGTGATATTATAAGTGAATCTTTGTTTATGTTGTAGATTATGAGATTTAAATTTCCTAACTGGACAGGATGTGAGCATACGTGAAGCACTTATGAGGGCTGAGAAGGCTCTGAAAATGAGTCAACGCAAAGACTGGTATAAAATTCTGGGAGTTTCAAAGTCAGCATCTGTATCTGAAATAAAGCGTGCTTACAAGAAGTTAGCCTTGCAATGGCACCCAGATAAAAATGTAGACAACAGAGAAGAGGCAGAGGCCAAATTCCGAGAGATTGCTGCTGCATATGAGGTCTGTTCCATTAATAATTTGAATTATCCTGTCTTTACTATTATGTTTGAACTTCAGTTTTATATTATTCGCAAATAACTCAGCCAGTTCAGGTAGTCTTTGTACTACATATTTCCGGAAGAATTTCAATCCACCGCATACTCAATCATACCTCTTAATACATAAATCAGTGTCTTTGACACTTGAAATTTTCACTGATATAGGTGCTTGGGGATGAGGAAAAGCGAACAAGATATGACAGGGGAGAGGACATTGAAGACATGGGTATGGGGGGTGGTGGTGGTGGTGGTTTCAACCCTTTCGGTGGTGGGGGGCAGCAATTCACCTTTCATTTTGAAGGAGGCTTTCCTGGCGGGTTTGGAGGAGGCTTCCCTGGTGGGGGATTTGATTTCCAATTTTGATTTGGTACAGGTACTGCACCTAACACCAATCTGCCTAAGCCTGACAGCAACGGGTGGCATGTAACTTACATTGATATTGGCTTTTCAACAGGAACATTATATTCTTTAGCAAAATTTTGCCCCTTTGAATATCCCCATTTTGGAATTTGTATCAGATTACAGTAAGAAATCGATTAGCACATAATTTAGTTAGCAGCTGCTTGTACATTTCCTCTTTGAAGAACTCAGAATCCTCAAGATACCATGAACTATTCTTTCCCCCATAAAGGATTTAATAAGATCATGCCCCAAATTCTCATACTCAAAAAATATTTGTCCTTGTAATTTGCTGTCGCTACCATCGCCTGCCCAGATTGCTGACAGTTTGAAACTCTAACATGGAAAGCAAGGTGGGAAGAATCTGAAACCGCGCCAGCTGAACGATGTGCTGATCAGAGAGAGAGTTTCAAACTTCAGAGCCCCTGGTTTCAGGTTGTTGAATTGAAAGTTATTAAATCTAATTGAGCCCAACAAGACAGAAACAACAACCCATATGAAAAGCCCAATTGATGGCCTTGGCCCATTGTGAATCCATAATCCTTAGAGCCCAACTGAAAGAATCGGATATCCTAGATGCATATACTTGCTTGGGCCCAACAAGACAGAAACAATACAACCGGGCACAGAATAGATTTCCTCGAATTAAAATAAACAGACATGTTTTTTCAATTTATATATATATTTTTTAATTTCGTGTTTTGAAGCTGAATTTCAATCTCAAAATCTCAGAGGGACAAGAAGAAAGTCTCCAATCTCGTTTCCCTTCTGATTTTGTAACTTCAAAGCACAATCTTCTGGACATACCAAAATCATCTCCGCCCTCCATTTTGTTGACTTTTTTTCCCAATCCCAAAGTCAAACCACCGGCAACGGAACT